CTTCGCAGTAAAGCACTATTTGAGCAATAGTGAAAATCAGACCTGAAAAAAATTTCAGGCCTGTACGGGATTCGAACCACTGACCTCTGCGATACTAGTGCAGCGCTCTACCAATTGAGCTAACAAGCCAACTGGGAGCAGGCCATCAAATTAATTCGATATAAACCCGTAGATGATAAATCAAACAACAACAAACATATGAAACATATGTGTGAACTGCGGTTATAAGACGTATATGAGAACGATTCTTCGCAGTAAAGCACTATTTGAGCAATAGTGAAAATCAGACCTGAAAAAAATTTCAGGCCTGTACGGCTTGTTAGCTCAATTGGTAGAGCGCTGCACTAGTATCGCAGAGGTCAGTGGTTCGAATCCCGTACAGGCCGGAAATTTTTTTCAGGTCTGATTTTCACTATTGCTCAAATAGTGCTTTACTGCGAAGAATCGTTCTCATATACGTCTCATAACCGCAGTTCACACATATGTTTCATATGTTTGTTGTTGTTTAATAAACAGGCTCTTTCTCACTAACTATTTTATGAATAATGTTCTGATATTGTATGGGAAAGTTGCTTACTGATCACCTCAAGAAATTGAAGGATAGACCAAACTCTTCATAAGGACTGGCTGGAGGGTCAATGTTATAAGCAGTACCCATATTTGCTGTGGTCAGTGATAACATTAATAAAGGATGGCATGTCACAGTGTGCTTAGGGATCTCCATTTGGTGGCCTGGGTCTGTCCCAGTAAGGGCTAAAAGCATACATTTAAAGACATGATGCAATGGCACTCTTAACTTATTTATCTACTTTGAGTATGTTTTAAAATTTTGGTCTCTTATAGTGCATTTCTTGCATCCTAGAACTAGAATAAATCATAAGTTTGATGCTTGTGTTCTCTTGTGCACTGCAAAAAAATTAAAATAAGATCTCAATCAGTAAAGTGAGGGAAATTAGTGAAATAAATGGCAAGTTCAGCTGCCTGCCAGCTTTTGTTGAAAACTCTGGTGTCCAGACTAAATACGCTGCAAAATAGTGTTTTATTTAAAGCTGATACCTTATTAAAAAATGACTGAAACTTGGTGTAGTTTTGGCCAACCTGGGGTTCTTCAATATATCTACTATTCCAGACCCTAACAAGGAAATCCAAACATGCATTAGCAGAGTAACAATGCACATATGACTGTGACAAAGATTATTACTATAGGAAATTGAATTTTATATACAACTTGATACTATATCAAGAAAAATTGAAAAAAGACTGTTATTTACCCTCTGGTTGTGACTCCAGAATTCCAGGCACAAAGTCAGCACCACTCATGATAGCATTTTCAGGAATCAGGTGAAAAACTTTTTTCATAGGTCGATGGATTTGAAGAACAAAATTCAAGGTGCATGCCTCTATCAGAAGCAGACTGGATGCTTCTTTAGAAATAAAGAAAAACAACACAGTCAGGTATTGTGTTGGGGGGGTCACAGATTTAGTGCTAAATCTATTACCCAAAGAATATCTTACAGTGTGATTTTGATATAATAAATTAAAGTAACAATAATATGAGGTAATATGAAAATGGAATAATATAGCAAATAATATAGGACATTGACAAGTAATTTACACAGTTAGGGGTATGACCACATCTTATCAAATTTCAAAGCTATGAGAGGTTATTTCATACATGTACATACATAATTGGAATTCTGCATAAGTTTACCTGAGGTAAGTATAGACCTGAGTTTCAAGCAATAACCCACACACCCAAAAAACCACTGCCCATTTTTTGATTTACATGCATATATCAGTTCTGTCAATTCTTATATTTGAACCTTTTTTGATGGGCAGAGAGCATGATCCAACTGGCCAGCTCTGATGAATGGAGAGAAATGAAAGTTTGGACAATGCACATCCAGCTACTTACCTTCAATTGTTTCAGAGATACACAACAGACCAGCGGGTGACCCATGGTACAAAGGAATGCTATTGTAAGAGAAAAGTTATGCAGTGGGCAGAAATTAGAAATGAGAACTTAAGAATGGCTGCCTGTTAGGATCGAGAATCGTCCGTCAGCGACCATTTTGGTGAATTGCTCATATTTTGCCCAACGATACCATTTGGTAAACTGTTTTCAAAAATCAAGTTTAAAAGTTCCGACGAGTGTTAATTTTTCAGAAATTTGCGAAAATTTGAAAACGCGGTTTAAGTGCGGTTTTCCGCCTGGCAAATTGTCCAAAATTCACTGCAACATAAAACGAATGCATTCTCAATGAATTTTCAAGATGGACTTTTATTTGATCTTAAAAACTCGTAAATACGTGTATGTGCATTCGTGGCGACAGATATGTAGTCATCTATCTACATTTTATTCGAAATTTGTGGCGTAACCTGGTCCGGTAGTAAGAAGCTCTTAACGAAGAACAACACGGTGCTGGAAAAAACTAACGAAACGACTATGTTGAAATCAACTTGTAATAAAATTACATCAACAAAAACAACGCGCATACCGTGAAAATATATAGTTACTGGCGTCACGCAATTCTTACATAACCACACGAAAAAACGCAAACCTAAGAGAGTAGAAACCAAAAATACAATAGTACTACAGTATAATGAAAAACATCAAAAACATCCTTTTGCAAGTGCAAATGCAAATTCTAGTCGTTGCAGGCCCATTATCCCAATAGTCCTGACATATTTAGTAATCAGCTAGACCAGTTGTTCGAAGAGCAGATAACGATATCCAACGGATAAATAACTATCCAGCGGATAAAAGTTAAGCAAACGTACTGCCCTATCCACCAGATAGGGATTTTTCCACGGGATAGCTTATCCACCCTCCAAAAAAAAACCGGGGTGGGTGAGATTGAAGCAATCATATGAACACAAAAGCTAGGGGCTCCCTTTCTTCAACTAGCATATATTGAATCGCAGCCCAATCTTATTTCTTCCCACTACATTTTGTGTACAATTTTCGTTGAGCATAATTTGATGCATTTGAAAAGCGAAGAGACACCAGGCAGGTTCCTAACACTTTTCAAACATTTCTCCATGCGACTCAACAGGTGCAACTTTGTTAATCAGCATTTTCAGGCCGATCGTTTGGGCATTATTACCTTTCCGAGTTTAGGTTATTCGACAGAAAGAACACATGGGAAGCTGTTTCAATTAAGTTTACTTTATTAATAAATATTTTCGAGTTCAAATAATTCAAAGTAAAATACGTATCTTATCAGTTCTAAAATTGACGCGTCTCCTATCTTCACCTGGGGGCATTTCATAATAAAATAGACGTTTCTTGTGGAGCCTGTGAGAAAGCAGTTGATAAAGTAAGAAAACCACGATGTGTTCCGTCTCAAAAGCTTTCTTAGCAGCCAGTCTAAAAAACAAAAACCAGCACAGTTTAAAAGTTATTTGAGGTCAACAAAAGCATCTTACTGCTTTGTCTGTTGAAAGTAGGCGGCGAAAACGCTAGCCACTGGTATTTCTGGAGAACACAGAGCCGGTGGACGATATCAAGATGAATGAAAACCAAAACCCATAGAATTACGTCACCCTAAAGCCCAACTTTTTCATAACAAAAACGCCACGGAAAGAAACTAGTATGAACACTGAGTGAATTGAAACAAACCATACCTCGAACATGCGGAGTGTTACGTATAAACGGCGTTGATGCTAAAAGTTTCTTCATTTTTGTCTTCCGAGTCATTGATGAAGATGAGAATTTCAGATTTTCCCGGGAACTGTTGAGGAGTGAAGCGAAGCCCAATACTGTGTGATTCTCCGGTACCAACCTGGCAGATTCAAGCACAGAAGGTATGGCAAGATTGGTAACACAACGGAAATGATTCAGTAAGAAAATAATAAAATAATTACACGACACTCCCACCCCCTTGCTCCTTGTCAATTTTGTGAGATGGCGGACAACTTCCTTCTTTCTCGCTAATAAGTAAACAGCAAACTAGCATTTGACAGCGTGTAACCAGTGATTTCCCATACTTCAAGGTGGTAAGGAACACTATGCACCAACACTCGTCGTACATTTACCTCAATGATGCTCTCTTTGAACTGTAGCATGTCTGGCCTGTTAGTTTTCAGATGGAACGTCTTCTTGGTAGGATAAGGATTGGTGAATGATACACGCTGACAAGAAAAACAAAATACCTTTCAGTCTAGGAGCCGGTTATGCTGTCTCCACGTGCCGCCCCTCACTACCCCGACTTTCCTTAAACATCGACTTTACACGATTTTCCAGGAAAAACTACAATCTTATAAGCAAATTATACAGTCATATTCACTCTGACGAAGAATTAACGCTCGAAACGTCAGCTTTCGAAACTCTTCAACGGTGGCCAATTTACAATTACAACTCAGTTGGTAAAACAAACTTGACTATCTTCTAATACCTTCCACCCACGCAGCACCGCAGTTTCTCTAGAAACGCACCCTCTTTGTTCATGTTGAGGATAAGACTACATAAAATAATCACTGTGACTAAAGATTTCTCACATAGAAACAGTCTACCGTAAAATAACCCAGGAAACATTTTGCAGTCGTTATTTACTTGCTGGTTTAACGGGAATTGACGAATTACCCACGCGCCGTCCGCTTCAAGCGACTGCCGCTCAAAGGCCAACCGTAAGATGTCTACGTACGCCTTACGAACGACCACGTTGAAAAAGAAAATCGACGATTAACCAAGAAAACAATGTAAAAAGTCTACCTTGTTCGAACCCTTTCCACCGCCAACTTGTATCTGCAGTTCAAACGATTTAGAAATGACAGGCATTTGACAAGAGGCACACACGAGCCAAGTTCTCACAAGTTGATGAAATTCCACATCTGATAAGTGTAGTTACGGAAAACTATTTTTATCAAAACACATGCCTGTTATCTCAAGCTTGTTCGACTAACAATCCATAACTTCTGCCCCTATTTCAGTGACACCAGTAAAAACAGCCCGTAACTTCGAGCCCATGTTGACTGCCATTTGCGCACGAAACATTATCGCTTTTCAGCGTTTCACACACAACACTAGGTTTACAGTCTTCTCCACATTGTTACACGTCCCTTACTACTTGATTTTCTTATATTTAGAGTGGGGAGGCTAAAATCTTAGCGATCTACGACGCCATTACAGTTATCAGATTACTCAATGCAAATAAGTTAGCCTACTGGTGATAAGTTGTTGTTGTTGTTGTTGTTGTAGCAAAGGATACCAACCACGTTGACATACATATAGCGCATGCTCCCGGATGCATAGGGTCGTATCGTCAGATGGACTTCATGAACAGCGTTAGCCATTAACATGATTGGATCGGTGGGCTTGACCTGCGGGCAAACAAGTTTGTCAGCAAATACGTACACACTAGCGGGGCGACCCTGAGAAACGCGAGGTTTGGTGCTTGCACGATTTCCGTAAAGAGGATGTACCTTGTATTTCATCGCAAAGAAAATCTAATCAGCAAGAAGTGTTACGAATGCCTCTAGCATGGTACAGCCGAGAGAGGTTCTAATTATTTTAATGGAGGAATTTTCGATAGGATGTTCCCTGTTAACTGCGGCACGAATTAGTCGACTAACCTGTAATTCCTCGGGGTGAGATGAGAAACACTGCACAAGACGACTGGACTGAGTTCCTCGTAAAATCACAGACAGGCGACTGCTCTGACCTAGGAGCGCGGTCATGTCGATTCTAAAACAGTTTGCACGGAAAACAGCAGTTTTAAAAGATCCTCGGTCAGTTTTTCAATAAAACTTGTTCAAGTCAGTTCCGCGTATTTTCAAGTCCTCATTACAAAAGCGGAGACCGAAAAATCAGTCGCAGAGACGATAAGACTTATAAACCAAATCAAAACGTGAATTTCCAATACGTTTTTTTTTTTAAGCTAAGGTAGTTTTACATTTGACTCTTTTCTTTTCCCTGTTTGTGAGAGACCTTTAATGCAAACTTTTCGGAGTACCAATAAAGTATTTCCTACCTTTGTAATGAATGGACATATAGCTGCCATGTCTGACAAGGCTCCGCGAGGAAAGGATCTCTAAGTAAAAATAAACGCATTGAAGGTAAAAAGAGCATCAAAGCGCAATTGAATATCGAAAGATATAAGATGCGTGTTGTTTTAGCCCGAAGTACGATTTGAGATTCGCTAAAACACTAATGCCGCTTTTGTAACCAATCAGAGACAACACTATTAATCATTTAATGCATCTATTATATAGTTAATCTGGTTAGGCAGGGGACGTTAAAGAACCCACTCACGAGATTACTGGGATGTGGTCTGGCCTGTTTACTGGGAATTGGGGGGAGGGGGGATCTTCAAATAAGTTTCCTTCGATTGTTTGTAAACTGCTGATGCAGTCCAGCCAAAGTCCCCCAAAAAGTGTTGTGATCAGTGCGCATTTGATTATATCCACATGCTAATTTGTGCAATATAAATATTAAATTATTATTATTATTATTATTATTATTATTATTATTATTAACACTTCAACCAATAGTGACTTGCCCCACCCCTCTGAGTTATCATTGGCTCCTTATAACATGTATCTCTGTTCCAGTTGGTCGTTGTAATTAGTTTGGCTTTGGTTTACGAACTTCATTCGACAGGCGCTCTACTTTGTTACCACTGATAGAGAACGTTGAATACAATCGTCCAATATCCGTAAGAACTTACATGAATAGGAGAACGAAAAGCCGCTTAACAGATGGAGAGGGTCCACATGCGATCTTGAAGAAAACGTCCTGAGGTTCACCTGACGGCTTGAGAGTTTAAAAATTAACATTCATACATTACTTTCAAATCAGAATGTTGTTACAAAACGCCCACGGGTGAAGATATATTCTTGGGGACCGTTATGAACTACGAGATCTTCAAATACGTGCGAAAAACAAGCCTTCAGTAAGTAATCTTGGGAAAATTCACGGCAGCAATAACACTCTTCTGAGTTTATCGTCTCGCATGCTGTTGGTCTTATTACTTAGTCCCCATCATTAACAGTCGAGCCGTACCTTGTATAACTGATTTTATGCGGCAGCCATTACGATATATTCGAGAAAAGAGTCTATTTTATCTATTGAAAGGAAAAGGTAAAACTTAGTGTGATTTCACCCGTGATAAGTAAGATCGTACCATCTTTCTAGCTTCACAAACAGTATTCACATCGCTGCAGCGTACGTGAACTTGAGGTTGCGTGTTGTCGTCCATTACCGGTGCGCCTGGGAAAAACAAGTTAACATCGTTCAATGGTCTTCAATCAAGGTGGCATTTTAAATTCTTGAGACGCAACTTGTGCATCCAACGGGATAACTGAAAAGCCTACAGATTTTGGTAAGTGGGGTGGGGAGAGTTTCATCGTGTGTTGTTTTACCTGGTAGTGATCGCCAGGGGGGTAACCTGATGGTCTTTTTTAAGAAAGACTGTTCTGCGTGGTAGAACCTGAATGTTCTGTCTATCACATGGGGTCGAGGTTCAACCTGAAGGGTCAGAATAGCTATTGGACGCTCCTCCTTGTTCCTGAATGACACCTTAAGAAGAGAAGCAAAGAAGATTTACAATTCAGTGCCAATGCTAAGGACAAAGTGAAGGCTAAACGTATGTTTTCTCCCTTAAAGTATCGGTTGCATGTTCCTCCGCTTAAAGCAAAATCATTTGTTTGCCGCCCTTAGTAAACGTCGTCGAGTTCAGCGCGGATTTCATCACCATTATGTGCTTTCCGCAGTAAGCATATTATGCATTTCCCAACGTTATCCAGACGTTTTTTCACAGCATGTATTCGCTCCGACGAAGGGCTAACGCTTGGAACGTCAGCTTCAGATCTTTTTACAGTGGCCAATTCACATTATCAATTCAGTTGGTAACACCAAATTATATAGGACATTTCATTACTTGACGAGGGAATTCCGCATTGAATTGCACGCGAAAACCGATATCGCACGATATCAAGTGTAATTTAATGCGGAATTCTCGAGTGAAGTAATGGATTTTCCTTGAATCGCATAACTGAATAAAAATGAGAAAAGAAAGGAAACAGCATTACTTAAAATTGTTTTGTTTACGTAGATGCGAAACAATATCACTTAGCCTCGTTTTCAACTCGCAATTTCACGCTAAATACCTCGCTTCGTTAACCAATCAGAATGCGAGATTTTATTCAATGGTACGATTCTACCTTAATAACTGGCTCCTTAAGCAATGTCGCTTTATATGCGACATGAAAGAAGTGAACTTCAACATTATAATTTATTAATGAAGACCAGTGCTAACGAAGTAACGAAAAACCGACAGATATGACAGAATCCAGAGAAGATTAACCTTGATAGCAAATGAAGAAATTGGAGTTTTTGTTACCTTAATCTGGCGTGGTTTTAGGCTATTTTCCTCTGATATGCTGGTCTTTAGATAGGTCTGAGCCTGCTGTTTTAGCGGGTGTGATGGACCCTGTGAAGAAAAAAAGATCTCATTTGAATTCTCTAGTGAGGCATAAAATCTCTTGGGCCATCTTTCCTCCAACGTATTTCGTGCGGTTTACAATTCCCCTGCAGCAAAAATTGATGTTTCCAAATTCCAATTTACCCTGACAAAACAACTTTGTGGACATTGTACACGCGAATATCTATCACTTTTGTTATGTATCTTGTCACGTTTCGTATTAACCAATAAGAGCTCGAGATTTCTATTACGTGATATATGGTAACAGCGAAGCCTGAATCAACCACCAAGAATACAAATCGAGATTGAATAATCAAATAATTTTATTTTGTTTACAATTTGACAATTTGATCTTGCCCCTGTTGTCACCGATGTGTTTAACACCTTGCTGCAACAACATAAAGTACCATCCTCTTGGAAGATGGCAGACATCAAGCCTATACCTAAGGAGTCTCCATTGACTTGCTGCACCCAGCTTCGGCCAATTTCTTTAATTGCTATTATCATGAGACTTTTTGAACGATTGGTCTATAGGTTTGAACTTTCCAGTATTTGCAATGATTATATTGATTTAGATCAGTTTGCCTATCGTGGTGGCCATAACTCTACTATGGCATTAATTAAATGTCAACACACATGGTTAAAGTGGCTTGATGGTAACGCCGATTTTGTCAGAATTTTTTCCTTTGACTTTAGTAAGGCCTTCGACTCTGTATCACACAATTCCCTCTGTAGTAAATTAAAGCAAGTTAACATTAATCCATATATTATTAATTGGCTTATTAGTTTTTTAAATCATAGAAAGCAGAGAGTTGTTGTCGATGGTCATAGTACTGAATATGTTTCTATAAATAGGGGTGTTCCTCAAGGTACAGTCCTGGGGCCGGTCTTATTTTCTATTTTTATTAACGATATCAAAGCTGTTAATACTAATAAGAATCTTCTAGTTAAATTTGCTGATGATATAACTATTAGTTTACCAATCGAGGCAAATGTAGGCTTAGATGAATCCGAAACGGAAATCCTATCCTTTATTGAATGGTCCGAGAAGAACTGCATGAAAGTCAACTTGACGAAAACATGGGAACTTCTTTTACGAGGAAAGACTTCCAAGACGCCTCCTGAACCACTCGAGATCATAGAGAGGAAAGAAAAACTGAAACTATTGGGTGTTACCTTTGAGCAAGTGCCAGTTAATTGGGACACTCATATTGATTA